TAAATACCGGCATCGGCCCGATATGAAAAATTATGCCGACATGTCTTGCCGATAAGAGGAATACATTAACTCAGCATTGTGGCTAATTCTTGAAGCAAAGTTTTGCCTGAATGGTGATTAGATTCACTGTTTTGGATCGCTGCATTTAAACTGAGAATGCACGTTCGGTGTGTGGTAGAGTAAACAGTAATAGCACGTGCAGTGGCAGCCTCCCCCGGGTACTAATGCCCGCTCAGTAAGGAGTTTCAATTCTGTAGGGGATGCTGTTGGCCTACTTCTAATAAAATGAAAGCAAAATACACAAATAATATTTAGACTGTTTCTGATTAAATAAAGCAGTAATTGATGCCATAAAATCATAAATATGTTTTGATTTAAAGGTCAGAAGCTTACATGAACAAAAAAAAATAAATCACAAACATGACACTTAAATAATTGTATATAAACTGATTTATTCATTTATGTGTAATATGGTATATTTTTAAACAAATTATGAGCTCTAAAAGATTTTCAGAATTTTTACAACTCTTTTGCTTTAGACCATTTACAAATGTTAAATCATAAAATAAAATGTTAAGGTTCCCACTGCATCTTTCTGAAAAAAAAAAAATGCAGTGATTAATATATATATTAATATAGTTTATTTATATTTATTTTCAAATCTTCAATGTACTGTCATTATAAAATAACTTTATTATTGTTTATTTAATTCTAACAAATAAGTTCTTGTTAAAAACTAACCAACATTTAAAATAATTATATATCGGCATCGGCTACTGGCCAAACTGAGTTGAAAATTATCGGCATATCGGATATCGGCAAAAATCCAATATCGGGCATCCCTAGTTTAAACTAAAATTAGTGGTATTATTGTTAGCTAAAACTGTTAAAATATTTACATTCATTCCCATAGGAAAAATTTATTGCTCAGTGGTTGCTTTTTCTAAGCTCAGGAGACTTCTCATATATCTCTCATTTTAGGATCAACAGCATTTCAGATGTTTCTCCTAAAATTCCTTAGGAGAAATGGAAGTAGACACAAATGAGACATGAGAAGTATCTGAGAAAAAAAGAGTCAAAACTGAGAATGTGGTGGAAGAAACTTAGAATTTCTCTTTATTGTCTTGCTGCAATCTCTATCAAGACTCCATTATAGGAATATTTTATTGCTCAGTGGTTGCTCTTTTTAACCTCGGGAGACTTAAGCCCTATACGGATGGTAATTGTTTCTCAGGGGGACATAAGTGATTTCTACCATTTACAGGGTGTAGTTACTGATTTAATTGCCGTCCGAATTCAGAATGTCGGTGTTTATCTCTCACCACCCCGTAAAAATCCCTGGCCGAATTACCTACTGTTTTTTGACAAACACCAAGGTCGTGTGGTAATTTAATTGCCGTCCGAATCCACATCTCTGAGTTTACGAGAAGAAATCAAACCCTTTTTGAGCACTCCCGAACACCTTACGATAGGCTAACTGTTGTACTTCAGTGTAATTTGTATACATATTTATTTCTGAAATGCTGGAAAGTATTTCAAAGAACAATATTTCATAACTG